AGTTTTGAATTCTTGGTGATTGGCTGTTGCTACGAGTTTCATGCTGAAATTTGTACTAATTAATTTTGTCGATGGTTTGGCTTCTACCAACTACGCTAGAGCAGAGGCAATGTTGGTGAGCTGTCTTATTCTATTGCCGGTGAAATCCCATCTCAGTTGCTTTTTTTTGTCGAATTCTGTGTGAAGAATTGTGAGTCTAAGTTGTTTTTGTGCGACTCCATCAACGAATTCGCTTCCCCAGTGCAAGCATCATAGGTAATGCTTCAGACAGTCTTCAGTAGCAGTTGGAGTATTTTATTGAGAAATTAAATTTTACATTTGATTGCTATTAGCATGCTTATAAAGTTAATGAAAGACGTTTCTTTTTTCTTGAAATCCCAGCCGTGGAGCTTTACTGACTAATACTTAGAATTCTTGCTTATCCACTCCGAAAGCGGGAAGACAGCAGAAATCATCAATTTATGAACAAACTGTTCGCTGCTGGTCTTGAGTCGAGGTCACTATGTGACGGTATTGACTTCTTTCTTCCGCGTTACTTGCTTATCATTCATCTATGATGTATCTCGCACCTCGTATTAACCATCTTTATCTTAACGTTAATCTGCGAACAAACTGCGCTTATGCCACCTAGCCTTGATTTGTCCGAAACTAAGATGGAAGATGTATAGTTTTTTGCAGCTTGATCATTTTTTCTAGCTTACTTATTCATCCTCCTTAGACACGTAATCAGTTTTTTTGTAAGTTCGCTGCGCCCGACAACCTGTTCGTCTGTTCTTATCTGCTAGTTTTGTTACGGGGCAAAGAACAACTGATAGGTGGTTGGCGCTGCTTTTTGCCTCACCCCACACTCTCAGGCGTGCTAGTTTTTCTTAACATGAACTTGTGTTGGTATTTTTCTGCTTTGTATCCTGTTGTACTGAACATGTATACGAGGCTATCTTATCATGCCAGTGCGCCAAAATTATGGGCGGGGATTGGCAATCCAAGGTCGCGTCTGTCTCATTCAGTTTCTCTACATTGTTGTGATATATGTTATTGATTTTTATATTTGTGAGATTGATGTTTATGTCTCTTACTTTTTTTTGTAATGTTCCTTGCCGTGATAACGTATTAATATGTGAATTTGAAATTATCTCAGCTCAACTGATACATTAATGATTTCAGGAGCGCAATGGCAATGCCACGGCGTCCAGAGCCACGTAAGAAGAAAAATGGAGGCTTTGCAGGGATGAATCTTAACAAAATTTTGGCAGGTCCAGGGGCGTCGGCTATTGATCTTGCAATGGTAGCGATAGGTTCAATTGTGGCAACTTTTGTATTCATGCGGTTTTTCGGAGAAAAAATTCCAACCGGTCCAAGTGTGCATATGGTTAGTCTCGTTCTGCTATTATTTTGTTTTTTGTCCATTTCTCCAAAAAGTTTTTCATCTTTTAAGGATCCTGGTTATAACCATAGTAAGCTCTACATACCTCGAAACCTAGCGAATGGAGCGGTAG